TTTTATAAAACTTTAAAACTTAATTGAAAGTTGAGGTAAGTTTGAAAGTTTAATATAAAATTTTGCCAATAAAAAAAATTTGCACAAAGTAGTGTAAAACAAAATCAAAATTTGAAATAATATATATATATATAGGCCATTGTGAGCTTCAAGCTCATAATGTCAAAATGCCTCAACTTAATAAATCCAAAGTACCAACAATTTAAATAATTCAATTATTATCTCTTTCTGCTGAAAGTAAAAAGTCTTAAGTTCAAGTCGCATGATATGCGAATGAAGTGGGATAAAAAATAAAAAATGATTGCCTTTTATTGTGTAATCAAGATAAAAAAATAAAAAAATAAAAAGTAAATCCAAAGTAACCTGATGTGTTTGGTAAGTATAATATCCATGTGAATATGCGATCAATTATGCTAATTTTGTCTAATATTATGCGGCAGGCCAAGTACGTTACCAATTTTCTTCATGTTCAAAATACTGTCGTCTACTAGTCCCTACAATTCACACTTTCAAAAACAAAATTTAATATTTAAATCTGTTTAAAAAACACATTAAAAAGCAATTTAAATTTAATATATAAATATTACAATCCAACAATAATAAATTTTAATATTTTATTAATTTTTTTTCTTACTTTCTTATTATAGAAATTGACATTTCTTTAATATTTTTCCAATTATAAAACATTACGTTTACAATTATATAGATCACAACAAAGGAGAAAAAATAAAAAGAAAAAAGAAGCGAGAAGAGCTGTCAGATACACAATTCTAGTGTCAACTAAGCTTTTATTGATGTCAAAGTTAACCAAAGAAAATGATGAAAGGAACTATATTGTAATTTTTAAAAGGTTAATTACCAAATGTTCAATTTTAAAAGGTTAGGGATAAATGTGCAAGAGAACTAAAGGTTGATTTATTCTTCAATAACTAATTATCTCTTGGCCGCCCAAAAAAAAAGAAAAAACCTAATTATCTCTTACTTATTTTTAATTATTGTTCAGGTTATGGAACATGTAGGTATCCTTAGCAGGAATTCATACAGAAGCTACAAAGGAGAGATTGAAAGATACTTTGTATCATTTTTTAATGTTTGCTAATATGAAATGAATTTGGTCTGCATTTGACAAATTTTGTTTGGTATGATTAAGGATTTGAAAATTTTGGGGGTTTTGCAGAGAAGAAGAGAAAGTTAGGCACATGGTAAAAGTTAGGGCGTCTTGTCTCCTCAATCACAGGCATTTTGATTTGGAAAGAGGTGTTGCTTTTTCTTTGAGGCTGGAATCTTAATCCGTTTGGGCAGTCGGAAACTAATAATATGGCCGGGAAAGGGGTATCTTAATCCACCTATTTTTTGTTTTTATTGAAATTTGTCTACCTATTTTTGAATTTTATTGAAATCTATAATTATCGAGACAAAGACACTAATCTTACCATTACTATGTACCCAACTTTCTCTTCTTCCCAGAAAAGGTTTTCTCGGAAGAAGAAATCTTGTGCCGACAATGCCAGCAAACAACAGCTACATTGCTGATGGCAACCATTTCAAGATAACAACTCAACAAACGAATCTCTTCAACTCCCCATAGAAAATAGGCAAAAACCCATGTTAAGCCCCCCAACTTTTTTCACAGCTAGTGATAAACCCCTAAACTAAAAAGGTGGCAGATAAGCCCTCGAACCCCACGCAAGGAGCAAATTAGCCCCTCCACTAACGGAGCTCTGTCACGCCGTTAGTGCAATAGCTTGCGTGGCATTTGACATCCAATTGGCTCCAACGTGGCTCCAACATGGCATGGGCGGGAATCTCTCTCCTTCTCTGTCTTTGTACTCTGTTACTTCAGTCAACAGCCTACGGGCGTTACTGCCGGTTTCACCTTCGGCGGTCTACCTTTCCCTCTTTTCGCGCCGGGAGCTGGAGTTGGAGCTGATGCCGGTGCCGCAGCCAAAGAAGGTTTAGCCTTCTTTGGAGGATGTCAGCGAGGTCTTCCAGTTCCACCGGAGCTTTTTGGATTTGGAGGTGGCGCAAAAGGATCTCTTGGCTTTGGTGGACGGCCTCGAGGTCCGCTCTTCTTTGGTTTGTATAAAGAGAGATCAGAGAGAAAATAAGTTCAAAGTTCTTTTTTTTTTTTTTTTTTTGATAATAACAATTGAAAGTTCTTTTAAAATCTCTAAAAGTTTGTTTAGCAGGATTAGTTAATTTTAATTTAATTTACAAGTTGTGCTCTGCGTGGTGCGTGAAAAACGCGTGCAGTGTGCGAGTCGGTCGAGAATAAACAATGATCTAACACAACAATTGTTGATCTAATTTGATTTTTTTTTTTTATATCTTATTAATGAGTTATACAAATCAAGCTACCACTTATTTTCTCTCTGATCAACAATTCCAATGTTATTGTTCTCCTTGATTTCAATTCCATTTGTGGGATCGTTTATCCAGAGGGAAGAAGGATCGTTTTCACCCTGATCCGGATTCGTGCTCATCGACCACCTACTGGCATCCATACCATTATTGAAATTAAACAGCACACGAACCTTATTCATCAGATCAGAGCTCTGCAGGATCAGCTCCGTAGACCCCAATTCAACAACCCCATTCGCCGACGGTATGCACACCATCGTTTGCAGCCCGAACACCTGCCCTTGCCTAGCCCGCTCACACGACGAACAGGCCAACCGCTCCATCCCGGCGACCCATACGGGGCTAGAATTGAAGAACGCCTCACCAGGCAACCCGCTTCCGTTGACGAAAGACTGCGTCATAGAAACAAGAAAGAACCACTCGGTGTCGGTAACCTCCTCGTCGACAGCATCGTCGGTGGGGGCTGAAGGGCCAGAAATCAATGAATTAAGCTCTCGGAGAACTTTCTTACGGTGATCCTGCTCGGCAGCTGACGATGACGTCTTCAACTTCCGTTTCCCTTTATCTTCCTCCCCTTTATAATACCCATCTCCCCACCCAAGAACAGCAGCTCCAGGGTACTCATAAGACGACTGCCAGAAAATCGCGTAGGTCCAGTTCTCACGAGCGCCCTCAATCAGAACCTGAAGGCGCTGCTGGAGGGTCTCCTGGTTAAAAGGCGGGACCTGCGGCTGCAATTGGGCCAGGGCCTTAGATGGGTCGGGTATTGGGGGCGTGGAGGTGGATGCAGAAGACTGTGAAGGTGGCCACAGACCAGTAAGATCGGAGCTCATGAAAGCCTCCATGACCGATCCGTTGTCGTCTGCCCAAAGATTCATGGACGGCGGCAGTCGATAGTCCGTCATGAGATAGAAAATTCTCAACAACCTAGTAGTTGAAGTGGTCGGAAAGAAGACAGGGGAAAGTGATGGGTAAGAGTGGGGGAAGAAGAAGAAGAAGAAGAGGAGGAGATGGGGAGAGGACAATTGTGGTGTTGTGGGGGCGACAATTTGGGTTGCATTTGATTTGGGGTTTGTGATTTATTTGAAGCGAATTTGAGCTGAATTTTGGAAGGAAAAAGGATGGTGGGTGGAAGTAGCAGAAAGGGGGGATGTTTCTATGAAGGATGCCGATTAAATCGGCAAAAATCCGGCGCACTCCGTAAGCTTTAGAAGGCACGTGCATGGTTTGACTTGTTGACTGAAGCTCAGGCCTGGGCCCGAGAGTGTCCTATAAGTCGGGACTGTGGAGCAGGAAGCAGCACGGGATTGATAAAAATGATTTTTTTTTTTTTACTATCTATCGAGAATAATTATTTAGATTAAAATGGAAAAAATTATTGACAAGAGTTGGATCAAGTGATAAGCGATTTGTTCCAGTTTAAGTAAGATTTCGAGTTTAAGATATTGTGTATGCAGTAACTTTTGTTAGGAGACTTATCCACCATTTTCAGGTGCGCGACATGGGTCGGATTCGGATTAGTCGGGGCGAAACCCTGGTATCCAGGCGAGAAACCAAAAAAAAAAAAAAAATCAAGCTACCACTTATTTTCTCTCTGATCTCTCTTTATACAAACCAGAGAAGAGCGGACCTCGAGGCCGTCCACCAAAGCCAAGAGATCCTTTTGCGCCACCTCCAAATCCAAAAAGCTCCGGTGGAACTGGAAGACCTCGCTGACATCCTCCAAAGAAGGCTAAACCTTCTTTGGCTGCGGCACCGGCATCAGCTCCAACTCCAGCTCCCGGCGCGAAAAGAGGGAAAGGTAGACCGCCGAAGGTGAAACCGGCAGTAACGCCCGTAGGCTGTTGACTGAAGTAACAGAGTACAAAGACAGAGAATGAGAGAGATTCCCGCCCATGCCATGTTGGAGCCACGTTGGAGCCAATTGGATGTCAAATGCCACGCAAGCTATTGCACTAACGGCGTGACAAAGCTCCGTTAGTGGAGGGGCTAATTTGCTCCTTGCGTGGGGTTCGAGGGCTTATCTGCCACCTTTTTAGTTCAGGGGCTTATCACTAGCTGTCAAAAAAGTTGGAGGGCTTAACATGGGTTTTTGCCTAGAAAATAAACTCCTCATAAACAAGTTTAAATGTTTAATTTCGAAAAACCAAAACATGAATAGTGTCCTAAACTTTAAACGGTTTATCTATTTCTGTGCAAGAAATAATTATTAATTAATAATAATTA